CACCCCGCCAGCCATGGCGCCGCCCCCACCAATGGTAAGCACCCCCTCCCCCGACCCAACGTCCTACCCTGCACTGGCCCTAACCCCGTCCCCTTTCCTCCTCCCTGCAGCTGCATGCCAGCAGCAGCGCCGCTCCTCAAGCCGACGGCCGACGACGACCTCGGCCGCTTCAAGAGTACGCCCGCGCCTCCCTCTCCCCGTGCTGGTTTTCCGCTTGGGTGTTTGTTTGTGCTCAATCCTGATTTGGGCATGATTTTTTTTCCGTCAGGCATCGCGAGCGTGCTAGACGGCGGGAATGGCCACGTCAGGGAGGCGGTGGAGGCCGCCAGGGACGCTGGATCTGGGGCGCTGCACGCCGCCACCGGTCACAGGAGGATGCCGGTGTGCGTCTACCTGGTCGAGAAGCTTCGCGTGAATGTCAATGCCGGAGACAACAAAGGTGCTCTGTTCGGCCTCCTCCTCTGGTTTCGCAAACTGCAGAACACCAGCGTGCCTACAGATTGAAATCGATGCCTCACAAGCGGCACAATTAGTAGGATGAAACAGACTGCGCGGATGCTTTATTTTTGCTGCATCAATCATAGCGCCACATGTGTGTTCTCCTCATTTTAGGGGAAATCGGTAACAAACCCACCTGCAGGGGTTTCTGAATACCCACATGACAGCTTAATCCTTATGTTCAGACACCAGCTAGTGTTAATGTGGTTTCATATAGAGGAGCCTCTAGCTTGGTTTGGCCCTTTACCGCTGACGTGCTGCTTGCGTGAACATCCTCCGAGAATCCAAACGTGGATTGTTATGTAGATCCTTCGGATGTATAGTGGGAGACAGACATGTTTAATCATAAAAACGAATAATCTAGTTTGGATTTTCTTATTTTGGCCAGAACATATCATTTCTTGAACTTATTCTGATGATTTTGATTGGTGATACACCTCTAGCATATAGCAGGAGCTCCGGGCACAGGTGGATGGCCTGCAGGCCGCCCTTGCCTAGAAGCACGCTCTTGCCGTTGCCGATCAGGTAAGTGACGGAGGAGGTCTTGCTCTGTGCTTTTAGTTCTTCGTTGGTGCTTGGTTTGCCCGTGTGAACCTCAGTTGTGCCCGTCTGATGATTAATCGTGTGTCCTAGGAGTAGGAAGCGATGCCCCTTGCTTGTTTAGAAGCATCTGATGTCTATCACCAACTTGATCTAGTTTTATTAGTATGTAGTTTGAACTAGCCTGTGTCAAGTTTTATTAGTATGTATTGGAGTAGTAGTTTGAACCATCTTCAGTGGAGATTGTTAGAATAAATCCGAGGCATACTATTGATCATCCGAGGACCAAGCAATCACACGAGCACGACAGCAATATTTGTTAATGAGGTTCACCGATATGGCTACATCCCCGGGGCTTGACTACGGGCGCTCCTCCCTGTGACACCATCACAATACCGCACCCCGGCCACCCGGGCGCCGGCACACGCCACCGGCTCCCCTTTGCGCGCCAGTGCTATTATGCTGGCATAGGTTACATTGTGTGTCTACCCCCGCTATATATGAGAGGCCTAGGATACAAGAGTCCTACTAGTACCCGACTCCACATCCTATGTAAACACGATACAACTACAAGTCGAACTGTAACCTACCTTGTACACTATATTCGACACAACTCTAACAAACTCCACCTTGGCGAATATTCTCCACCACCTTGAGTTCGTCCATGCGTCAAACTTCCATGTACATTGGACTTGAGCTTATCCCATGAGTATCGCTGCTACTCCAAAGACTCCATATGACTCCATCTGCAACTTGTAGTCCCTTCTTTTCTTGACCACGGTCAACACTCGAGCAAAATTAAGTTCCTTGTTACTCTAGTTTGTGCTCCCAACTTCCAGAGTATAAGTCCAACACCATCACACACCGATCACTGACCTGCGTGAAAGTGAACAACTCACATATTGGGCGTCACACATAAGAGTTACCCGAACTCAACATCACCGCTCCTTTCTTGACCGTCTGTCTGAAACATGAAGAAATTTCACTGTTGCTTGTAGTCATCCCAAGTCAAATTCGCAGTTGTCTCACCACATGTATGACCACCAAAGCCCTGGCCCATCTCCATGTCCCGTGCATACCACACACCTCACCGCTATTACCGCGTCGAGCCTCCGCTGTCCCGATCGAGTCTCAAGGGTCGCGAAACCACACCACTCAACTCCAACTGCAGAGTACCATTGATCATCACTAACCGATGACGAGTTTCACGCTTCCATCAGACCACTGGGCTCCAGTCCAAATTACGTGTCACTCACTTTTCCTGCTGAATAGGCTTCGACTCTCTGTGCACTTGCGCCGTAGCCCCTCAATCAGCACCGAGTGAAGTCCTCCAAACTCCAGCTCCACCTTCAACATGACTCCATGGTGGTTGTACGTGCCACCCCGCGCCCCGTCGACTCCAAGCTCTCATGTGCACCGTCTTGAATCAACCCCGCGCCATAGCCTTGTCGAAGCCACACAAGCACTCAGGCATGTGCCACGTGTTTCCACGCCCAGAAGTCGGCCACCATCAGCATCACACTCCTACGTCGTCGTCGCCGATCTCACCACTGTCTTCTGTACCAACCGACTCACGTCGATCCGTCAGACTATCTAGTCCGACCCAGCCAAAATTATCCGACTGCACGACACACTCCAGACTCCTCAAGTCGTCACTGTATCCAACGCCATCCATACACAAAAGTGTACTAGCAAAGAAAACCAAAGCAAAATCCCTCACAGCCTTCCCGTGTGAACACTACACGTATATAGCTCCTGGACTTATCTTCTTTCTTTCTTCCTGATAGCATCCCGGCTTCGACTAGTCTTTGTGCCAATATTTTTCACAAACAAATCTCGTGTCCTCTATGCGCAATTGCCTGCAGCTTTCAGTATCCAGCGCACAGCGCAGCCCCCTGCAGCGCCCCCATGCCATGCACCAAGCCTCAGCCTGGTCAGCTAGCCTCACGTACGTGCTGCTCCCAGCGGCCCAACATGGACCTTGCCATCAACCCAGCATCATGGGCCACCACGCTGCACTCCTGATGGGCTACCGCTTGATCCAACGCTGATCCACTGCTCGGTCGCCACGCATGCACCTGGCACTTGCGCGTGGCTGTCTTGGACTTGAACATGGGTTTTCGGTGATGTACGCACCGATCTCGGCACTATACGATTCCGCCGCCACCACTTGCTACTCCATCTCGCCGAGACGCGCCAGATCGATCTGGTACCGGCCTGATCTGCAAGACTCCCGATATATGCTCTTGACGCCATCATCTGGTTCCGATCGCTATCTCGAGCAGATATATTCGCTACACCCTCGAATTGTTTGATCGCCGCACGTGATTAAATCGATCCAACGAATTCTTCCGCTCCTTCCTCTAAATCAATAGAACTACGACCTCCTCGTAACCTTTCTCATGATACCACTTGTTAGAATAAATCCGAGGCATACTGTTGATCATCCGAGGACCAAGCAATCACACGAGCACGACACCGAGATTTGTTAACGAGGTTCACCGATATGACTACATCCCCGGGGCTTGACTACGGGCGCTCCTCCCCGTGACACCATCACAATACCGCACCCCGGCCACCCGGGCGCCGGCTCCCCTTTGCGCGCCAGTGCTATTATGCTGGCATAGGTTACATTGTGTGTCTACCCCCGCTATATATGAGAGGCCTAGGATACAAGAGTCCTACTAGTACACGACTCCACATCCTATGTAAACACGATACAACTACAAGTCGAACTGTAACCTACCTTGTACACTATATTCGACACAACTCTAACAGAGATGGCACCTACATACGTATAAACTAGAAACCAGGAATGACCTATTCCAAAAAATACCGGAAAATGGGCTTGTGTTTCGGTCTTTATGCCCAACTCCAGCCTGTGTTTCAGTAATGCACAACACTATTTACTATGACCAAGTTGCAGAGCATCTGCATTACAAAACCGCGAGTTAAGATTAAGGCAAATGGAATGCACTAGATAAACACAGATCGAATAGGTTTTCTACACTCAGGCACATGTCCGCTAGCTGCATGCATGTACATGCATCTTCTGAAATAGAGTGATTGGTTTGAATTCAAGTGCAGAATATATGCAAATGGGTGCTAGTTGTACATATTAATTGACTCTGTCCAGTGTCGATTTCTTTAGTGTACTACTGCTAGTGTCGATCTGAAAATGGATTCATTCCTTCTTACGCACTGCACTGTACTGTAGTACATGTCATCTTCGAATTAATACTCCAAAATTTATCAGTATTGGAGGATTGATTGTTTCCAAATCAATACTCCTGGGCATCATTCATGGCTGTCTAGTAGTCGACATACTTCTGGTTCCATTTAGTGTATGCAGGTAGCAGCAACTTAAGTGTAATGGAGTTGTTTTGTTACTCTATGCCTACTTCGTTAGAGTTAGCATCATCTCCTTGTCATTTATAGCATAAACGCCTTCACTATTCTTGGTCTGAACCTCTGATCCTGATACTGATTGTATTTGTCTTGATGGAATTACAGGCAACATGGTGACTCTAGTGCACGCAGCGTTGGCCATCCTCTTCGAGGCTGTGTTTAGGTGATTCCTCGGGTAGCCATGACACTACTCTGGCCGATTAGTACCTAGTGGCATGTTTGTAATATTTATAGGCATTTTACTTGTAGAAATAATGCTCATGGTATATTTATATGTCCTGCAACGCATGCTCTTTTTTGGTCTATACAGAATCTTGATATGGTGTTTTGGCAGCTGTGATATTAGATTGCACTTCTTTATGTGATTTACTCATGTTGGTACTACTTGTTAAGTGATTATCTTTATGCCCTTGCTACCAGTAGAATGGTCTATGCATGATTGCTCTGTAACTTGTCTTTTTCGGAACAGTTTGCTTGGTCTTTCATATCTGACTATGTAATGTAGAAGCTCTACTTTATCCTAACAGTTGCATGTAGCATTGTGCTACTATCTGTGTGATGCTAAACAATATGCTCTTAATCTGTTGATATACTGACAAGTGTTGTTTACCATTTACACTGTTTTACATTTGCTATATTCACAAATAGTAGTAGTGTCTGGTCTACATAAGCAAACAAGGTATGACCTATGCAGTTGTTCATCTGAATTGTTTGTTTCTGGGCGGTGTAGGACGAGCTGCATCAGGACAACCTGGAGCGGAAGAACTTTGAGGGCAAGATCAAGGAGAACCAAGAGACGATCACCGGTTACCTCATCCTCGTCGGCATGCTTGGCTCCTTTGGCAGACCCCTCTTTGGCTCCTACCAACTTACTTTTGTCGCTGGCTAGCACCATTTCCAGGTAGAGTTCCGTCCTGCTCTCTTGCCCTCCGTTTAGTTTTTGTTGGAGTGTGCATGGTGGCATCCTAAGCTCGCACTGTAAAATATGCTTTGCCTTCTTCCCGAGCTGGCACTGTAAATTTTGTTGTCTTGTTGATAATGCCATATGTCCTAAGCAATCAGATTACATTTCTGTTTGTATGGTAATATAAAAAATATTGATGCTATTATAATTTTCATTGTGTGTGCCTTTCATTTCTTTATTTTGATTGTTTCCCTTGTATTCTATATGCTTCTAATGGTCGATCCTTTCAATGCCAGGTGTTGTGTTCTGGAAGATGGAAGAGGAAGAAAATTTATTTTTGTTGAACTAAATTTTTTGTATTCTGTGTTGTTGTACATATGATTTGATAGCATTGTATAGGAACATGTGATACTATTTTGTAGGGCTTTATGGCCTGTGATGTAAACATATTTAGTGATGAATTATGAAATTATTTGCAAAATTTATTGAAAAGGAGAATCATTTGTATGAATATGGGCCGCATATATGTGAATGGGCTGAAAAGTGTACTGGACCAACTCCAAGATTGAATTATTATTTGACTGTATAAAAAGGCTGAATGTAAACCAGAAAATGGGCTGCACAAAATAGTACCTATATTCTTGAAAGGCCAAACATGCATAGAAGTTGATGGGCTGAGTAGTAGGGCTTGGCCCATGTAGCTGACAAAAATTAATAGAAATAAATATACTAAATGGGCTAAATTGTTGGGCTCGGCCCATATAAAACACCTAATCGGACCGGGCTGAATCTTGTCAGTGACCTTTTCAATTGGTCGCAACTTTGCCACGTCAGATTGCCACGTTGGATCTGATGTGGCCTGGGCAGACAGCCAGTGACCAAAACAAAAGGTCATGGGTTCAACGACCTTCTGTTTTGGTCGTAAACGTCTACGACCTTCTCACAGAGAAGGTCGTTAATTTCAGTTTTACGACCGCCGGCTTTTGACCTTCTGTTTTTGGTCACAGAAAGGTCGCAAATGAAAAACAATGACCTTTCAGTGACCAATAGTCAAGGTCACAAGTTGACATATTTCTTGTAGTGGTAGTAGGGGGCGGTGAGGCCTCCGCGGCAGCACAGCCGACCACTGGAGGCAGGAGCAGGCGACACGACCGGCGCTGCTTTGGGCGGCTGGAGCAAGAAGACCAGAGGTTGAAGAAGCACGACGGCCGTTGGATGTATATCATACAATCACTGCAGCTAGAATCATTTATATTGACTAAGTTGACAAAGCTCTTGGTACGCGTCAACTTAGTAGGCCCACAGGTCAGCCTCCGAAACGGTGCACCCCAGATGTCAGGAAAAGAATCATTTTTTGGGCGGCTGAAGCTAGAATATCCGAGATTAAAGAAGAAGCACGACATCTGTTGGATGGACATCAAACGGCCACTGCTGCTAGATCCGTGTGTTGACTATAAGTTGACAAAGCCTTGCATACGCGTCAACTTCTTTTTTTAGGGGACGCATCAACTTAGTAGGCCCACAAGTGTGTGGCAGAGAACTTATAGCCCATTTGTGAATTGTAAGAATGTACAACCCATTTTTGAATTCTAATGGAATTTACTACATCCCATTTACAATTTGTTAAAAGTACAACCCATTTTTTAGCTAGGACAATGATTAATAATTTCAACCAACCGTTCAAAACAGAATTCAATAAAATTTCCCACATTTTAATGGGATCCGAAATATTTTTATACCGAAATTTCTAGTCAGATTAAATATAAATTTGTATTACGTAAAAATTCAACAAAACATTAAACGCACAACAATTAAAAATTAAAATTTTCAAAATTCAAAAATAATATTTTATAAACTAATTACGTGTTTGGTACATTTTTTATAGTTACTGCCCAGTTTCTATAATTACATCCCATTTATTATTTCTTAAAGCCCATTTTCCTATTAAGCCTAATGCATCCCTCCTAGGAAAGATTTGCAGCCCAGCGGGGCGGAGAATAACAAGTTGACCTTGCCTGAGTATTCCTCAAAAAAAAAGTATAGCTAGGCTAGCCATTTTCATCTTGAAAAAATTAATATCTGGGCCGGATATCTGGCCTGGGCTAGATGGGCCACAGCCCGCCCAGTTAATACTCTGCTCTCCTCTGAACAACAACGAAAACATCGCTCAAGAAAAACTCTGCAGTGCTCACGTCTCAAAAACACAAATACTACTCGAGTTGCTTGGTCCCAGTTGTCGGCCGCTCCTTGTGCAATTCTCTCGTTTATATTGACTACATAGGTTGACAATGGTGTGGGACCGTGATGTCAGGAAACCAGGAGGAAGCAAAAAAATATAGTTATACATAATAAGGAGGCACTTGCGTACGTACGGCTATGGGCCAAGTGGGTCCCTACAGTCATCCAGTCAAAATAAAGTCATCTCCTGAATCCTCATGTTCGTTGACCATGTTGACAATGCTCGGCGCCACAGCGAGCGCAACAACTCGAAGGACGACGGAGAGGGCCTCGCGGGCCCTACGGATGGTCTGATACAACGCCTGCTGCTCATTCAGGAAGCCAGGATCATCGGACACCTATGAGCACCTTCGAGAGACTGAGACGACATGAAATGGTAAGGCCGCGCTTGGGAGCTCTGGTTTATTAAGATACAAGTGTAATTTACTCGTCATTGGAAACAACGGGTAAAATACAGGCGTAATGAAACTGAGGGCCCGAGGTCTGTAAGTAAAACCGGCGGGTTACGCGTGTAATTTGAGAGACCGGTGTATATTTTACTAGTCAAAATCGACCAACCAAGCGCTTCGCCCGAGACCATCTGCTTTTATTTACAAGCGTCAGCTTTACAAGCGGTTTTGTTTGGAAAACGATGATCCAATCACGACCTAAGATGATGATTGGTCGAAAGATCATATGGTTTCACGTCTAACCTACCTGACTTGTCGTATAGGCTATGAATGAAACATAAGACGATGAACTTCTTAAGCACGGAAACAACAGAAGAGGATGATCTTCTTAACAAGCAAATCACTGGCATTAGATCAACATGCAAAACAATAGGAAGCATTATTCTCAGGAGGCACGGTGAACAGCTCGTGATGCCGCATGCCACAACATTCCAAGCTCAACTTTGCAATCAAACACAAGGCCTGGCATTACATAGACAATATTCAGAACAAACTCTTAAAATACCTTACATAAGTCAACATTCATGTGACTATGCATCTCAGCAGAGTAACTATTTACTTCTAAACTGAACACAAGAATAGGAAAAAATGATCGATGCTGCTCACAGCAAAGGGCGTCCCACTCAAAAATAACAAATGCATGTCTTCTGGCTAACATCAATGAGCAAAAATTTGACAAGGTTTTCCAATTCCAATATATTAAACTAATGTCTTCTTGCTAACATCAATGACTAAACTTTGACAAGCTTTTCCCATTCAAAATATGTCATGCCTATGATCGTGGAACAGGCAGGGTTTTTCATCAGTTTGTCAGCTGATAGTCCGGTGGCTCAAGGTGACGACGAATGATTAGAGAACCATTCAATGTATTGTGCATGATGAAGTATTATGGAGGACACAAACCATCTTAACAGTTTGTGCAGTTCCACTAAAATCAAGCCGAGCATCCTTGTGGATTTCGTATTTATATACTGAAAAAAACAAAGACACATTAGCACACACATGAATATTGGCCCCAGTGTGATGCGGAGCATCCTTCCATCATCCCCATGGACTCTACATCGATACATCCAACCCCAAGAGGACCCATGACAAGAGCTAGAGCACGTGCTTTGGAAACCGAGGTGAACTCCTTCCTACTAGACTTGCATATGGACACAAATGGAACATGTCTACTACCTCACCAAAACATGCTATGCCTCCTTAGGTATGAAGAGGAACATCACCAAGAAGCTCAGGAGCATCACCAAGGAGAAGGAGAACCACCCCAAGGCCACGTGGACCAAGAACAAGGAGAACACCAGCTGCACAGGAGGCTCCAGGCGACCCCGTGCGCACGGGCCTGTACCGTGCCCACGGGACCCCCGTGCGCACGGGCCTCCCAGGATGGCCGGCTGAGATTGCATCTTCGGCTCCCCTTCTTCTCCTTCGACCCCAAGGCTATATATTCCGTACCTAGGACCATGTTTAGGATTAGCAAAGTTGTAGATGAGATCTTTGTGAGCTTTGCTCCTTTACCTTCCCTCTTTGAGGATCAAGACCCCCTAGGGAAGAATCCTTGAGGATTTCAAGACCTCCATTGGGAGAAGACTACCTTCAAGACCCCTCTTACTTTGGATTTGGGATGAACTTTGCCATTGTATCTTTCCTTTGATTGTGTTTATGACTTGTGGATCTTGTGTTGTTACTCTAGTGGATGTGTAATCGGGAATTGTTGGAGTGATTGCTTCTTTGTGTTCTTGTTGTTCCTGTTGTTTCTATCCTTTTTCCCCCTCCAAGTGTGAAAAGGTCCCTCCTAGGATTCTACCCTACATCATCTTGGTATCAAGAGCCACGTTGATTCACATCTTGGAGTCCCTACCTTCCACTTTCTAGCTTGATTTTGTTGTTTTTCATCCTAATCCGAAAATCCCCACCAAAAATAGCCCCAAAAATTTCTCTTGCAATTTGTTGATCTTGTGAGATTTGGTTGATTTGATCCACGAATTTGGTGCTTGGCAAGTGGATCTACCCCTCCACCATCATCCCCACCCTCCCACCGTTTGATTTTGGCCAAAAACTTGGGAATCACCACGAAATCAGATCAGTTCATCCGCTCATGGGAGACCTCGTGCACACGGGCCATCGGGACCCCGTGCACACGGGACCCCGTGCACACGGGCCTCACTTACCCTGTGTGCACGGGCTATCCAGGAAGTTTCGGCCATTTTTCTGTTTTCTCATTTTGTTCCACCACCACCTCTCGTGTTCTTCCGCACCAGTCCACGTGTTTGTTTGAGTGTTTGATTGCGATTTCTC